TCTCTCTCTCTCTCTCTCTCTCTCTCCCCCCCCCCCCCCTTTTGGGTGTTATAGTTTGCAATACCAAGTGGCCATCATGTTCGGTCCATAGTCTACTTTCAGCACACACCTCCCATCTTGAGCGAGCCCTCCAAGCATCATTTACTTGGTGGTCCCTTCTCTGTCCCAGCTGCCTTTTCCCCCCAGCACGTGAGACCAACTTCCAAGCCATGGAGTCATCCTGTTGGCCCTTATCTCTACTATCCTTGGGTGTTAGTCTCCCATTGTGTAACATTATATTCCACAAATGAGTACTAAGCCATTCTATGTCTGTCCCTCTCTTTCTTACTCATTTCACTTAGCATGATACTCTCCATGTTGATCCACTTATATGCAAATTTTATGACTTCATCTTTCCTAACAGCTGCATAGTATTCCATTGTGTAGATGTACCAGAGTTTCTTTAGCCAATCATCTGTTCTCGATCACTCTGGTTTTTTCCGGATTCTGGCTTTTGTAAATAGTGCTGTAATAAACATACAAGTGCAGCTATCATTTCTACTATACTTTTTTGCATCTCTGGGATATATTCCCAGAAGTTGTATTGCTGGGTCAAATGGGAGCTCAATTTCTAATTTTTTGAGAAACGTCCATATTGTTTTTCAAATCACTTAATCACTTAACTTCACTTAACTTCCCGTTAGTCGTCAATTTGCTCGAGCGGGCGCCAGTAACGTCTCCATTTGTCCCTGTCGCGTGCTAGTGTAGCCCAATGGCATCTGTTCGCTCTGGGAACATGAAGGGCCTCAAACCGATCGTTCATGATCTTGACGAAGAAGTCTGACCATCTGGTAGGTGGGCGGCCATGCGGTCTTTTGACATCCTGTGGAATCCAGTCAGTAACAGCTCTTACTGTTTTTCAAAAGGGCTGGAAATTCCCACCAGCAGTGAAGGAGAGTCCCATATCCAAACCAAAACCGGTTGCTTTTGTTCTTTTGGATGTGGACCAGTCTCTGTGGTGTGAGATGATATCTCATTGTTGTTTTGATCTGCATCTCCCTGATTAGTGATGAAGAGTATTTTTTTCATGTGCCTTTTGGCCATTCGGATTTCTTCTTTGGTAAAGTTTCTGTTCATTTCATCACCACATTTTCTGATGGGATTGGATGTTTTCTTCTTGTAGAGTTCAATCAGTGCCTTGTAGATCCTTGATATCAACCCTTTATCAGAAGGGTATTGGGCGGGTATCCTTTCCCATTCTGTAAACTGTTTTTGAATTCAGGTCACCGTTTCTTTTGAGGTGCAGAAGCTTCTTAGTTTAAATAGTTCCATTTGTATATCTCTGTCTCCATGTGCGTGGTCAGTGGCATTTCATCTTTGAAGATACCTTTAACTTCAGTGTCGTGGAGGGTTTTGCCACCTTTTCTTCAATGTATCTTATGGATTCTGGTCTGATATTGAGGTGTTTATCCATTTTGATCTGCCTTTTTTGCATAATGTTAGGTAGAGGTCTGAGCCCATTTTTTTTTTTCATGTAGCTGTCCAGTTTTGCCGGCACCATTTGTTAAAGAGGCTTTCCTTGCTCCACCTCACATTTCTTGCTCCCATATCAAAGATTAGGTGATCATTTGAGGATGTGTATAAGGATATTCACCTCTGTTCCATTGGTCTTTGGCACTGCCTTTGTTCCAATACCATGCTGTTTTAATTATTACTGCTTTGTAGTTGAGTTTGAGGCTGGGGAAGGTGATACCTCCCATCTTCTTTTTCCCTAAGAATTGCTTTAGCTATTCATGGAGGAGGGGGGAGTGTGTTGTTCCATATGAATTTCAGGAGTGTTTGATCAATTTCTTTGAAGAATTTCGTGGGTATTCTTATAGAGATCACGGGAGTATTGATTGCCATTTTGACAATGTTAATTTTCCTCTCCATGAGCAGGGGATATGTTTCTATTTCCTTGTGTCCTCTTTTATTTCTTGAAGTAGTGTTTTGTAGTTTTCTTTGTACAGAAAACTTACATACAAAGTTAAGCTGATTCTGAGGTTTTGATTTTCTGGGGCATGATTGTGAATAGGATTACTTTTTTCATATTGCTTTCTTCTGTCTCAATATTTGTGTATAAGAAAGCCATTGGGTATTGATTTTATAGCCTGTGACTTTACTATACAAGTCTGTTGTTTCTTTGAGCATCTTGGTTGATAGCTCACACTTTCATGTTTGTGTCCTTTGAAGTATCAATGTTTTTCAGCATGATGATGTTTATTTTTCTTTTGTTGGTAGTGCTTTTGGTATTATTAACTAAGAACACATTGCCCAATCTTAGTCACAATAGATGTTTGTATTTTCCTCAAAGAGAACCTAATAGTTTTAGCTTGTTAATAATTTAGTGGTTTTGGGGGTGGGGAGGAACAAAAATATAGTGGTTAGGGTGTAATGTACTCTTGCAAGTGGCTGACCTGTGTTCTATCCCCGGCACCCCATATGGTCCCGTGAACCCTGCCAAGAATGATCCCTGAACTCAGAGCCTGAGCACTGCCTGGTGTGGTTCAAAAACCAAAACCAGTAAAAACAAGCCCCCAAACTTAGTGGTTTTGTGTGGCATCTGGCAGTTCAGTTTCATTATTTTGCATATGGGCATGCGAGTTACCTCAGCATTCTTTGTTAGAAAGACTGGTCTTGACATCTTTGTAAGAAAAATCAGTTGACCTGCCAGGGATATTGCCTAGAATGACCCATGCCCACCCTGAACACCTTGGGATGCTCCTCAAAAAAAAACACCCAAACACCAAAAAATAAGCAAACAAACAAACCCCAAAACAAAAATGAAAACAACAAAAAATATAGCAAACTTTAGGTGCTGGAGCAATAGCACAGCGGGTAGGGTGTTTGCCTTGCACACAGCCGACCCAGGTTTGATTCCCAGCATCTCATATGGTCCCCTGAGCACCGCCAGGGGTAATACCTGAGTGCAGAGCCAGGAGTAACACCTGTGCATCGCCAGGTGTGACCCATAACAAAACAAAACAAAACAAAAAGCAAACTTTAGTCACCAAACCTAATAGGCTATGCTAGCTCTGGAACCTCTCAGAAGTAGAAATACCAGTCCTGTATCTCTTCACTTTGTGGGGAATCCTTTTTTCACACTCCATTGAAAAGACTGCAGCATTCTGAATTATTGGGGTTATCCTTTCTTGATGTGCTGGATTGTAGCTGGAAGCAGGGAGAGATCTCGCACCCGGGCTATAGCTTGCACAACTATTTGTGCCTCCTTGCTGAGAGTATATTTCAGCCAGTTTGAGAGCATTTGTAAGATAACACCTAGTAGCAGGATTGCTGGCGTGGGACTGCGTTGGACTCTTCCATTTCCAGATGTGACTAAAATTCTCAAATTCAATCCTCTCATATCGAGTGAATGTCTTAAGCTTGGGCGGGGTTGTTTGCTTTGGGCTAGGTTGTAGTTGGCGACATCTGGCAGCTGAGACTTAGAGTTTCAGTCGTTGCTTTGTTCAGGTACAAGGACTATGGAAGGTGTCAAGAGCACGCAGAAAGGAGAGCTCTTGCCTCTATCTAACGCAGCAGAAAAGCATCTGGGAAAGGATTCTTCATTTCTTCTTCATTTCCCTGTGGGTTATAGTGGATCCTGTGATGATTGGCCAGCTTGGTCAGTTATCAGCACTTAGGCACATGGGGCATTTAATCCCATGAGCTTCCCTTCAGCTCCATGTACTGGTGGGAAGAGAATGACAGGGCTTATGTTACTATGGAAGAGGAGTTTTCCGGGAGAGCAGAGCATGAATATGACCTGGGAGAAGGATTTGTGAACAGCCATTCTAAATTGTGCAGGTGTGCCTAACTCTGCTCTGTTTTCCCATCGCCCATACGTAGACGGGGTCATTTACTTGCTCTCCTTGGTGCCACTCTCCCTTATAAGATGTGATGATTCTTACCTGCAATTTTGGGGTGAGTTTTACAGTGTGCAAAGTGCCCATAGAGAGGGGCATTAGTGTTTATCTCTTGCTAGTCGCATCCTCCCCTCATCCCCTCCACCCCATAGTCCTTGTATTTAAAATACATCTTTGTTGTTGTTGCTGTTGTTCTTACTGCTGTGGTGCCAGGAATTGTACCTGGTGGTATCAAGCAGTGCTGGGGCTCAAGCCCATGCCCACTCATATTCAAGGCAGTACCATACCACTGAGCCATATCCTCGGCCCCCAATACACGATTTTGAGAATGTTATTTCTCTCCTCGAAGACCTGCAGTGGCTCCCCATTAGCTATTGAATAAACTATATTGACCATTTTCTTGCAGACACTTCAGGATCTGGTCCCCGCATCTCTTGTTTTGGATTGGTTTGTTTTTCTTTGGGCTTTCCAGGTAGCACTAGCCATGGTGATACTGGGGGCCACCCACGGTGATACTTGGCCAACTGGGCAGGCAGCCCAGTGCTAAGGTCTGAGGATGTGGTGCTCCTGGGCCCTGGTGGCACTCAGGGCCTTCACAGCTGTCCCCAGCCACTTTGTGTCTCTTCAGCGTCACTCTCATCCACCTTCTTCTGTACTTGGGCCTGTGTCAAGGATACTCCAGGCTGAGGAACATTGAACAAGAAGTCTCTGAGGCAAAATTTGTGGCCCATTTGGAGAAATTGCAGCATTTTTTCAAAACATGCTTTTTCTCTCTGAGTCAGAATCATGTGGGATTGATTCTTAACCTTTCAGATAATTTTCAGACTTACTGAACTATGAGAAACACTTCACTCTGTTTCAGGATTATGAAGGAGGAATGGAAATTGTAGTGTAATGGGTGTTATATTAAATGTACATGTAAAATGTTGATTAAGTCTATTTGTATAGATTATAAGATATTTAAAAGTTTAAATCTGCCAGTTTTTATCTTTAAGTGATAAGGATAAAAAGGAGCTGGAGAGAAGGGAGGAACTACCGTGAATTTTGTCTCCTGATCCCTAGATAGCTTTAAAAGTCTGTTAATCTTTTATTCATTGAATGTTTTTGTTTTTCTTTTAGTCCAAGGACAAAATGATGAGAGGCTCTCGCAGAGGATGTGTTAGACTCAGAGTGAGTATTCATTTTATGAAAACTTATTTTAAAAAAGAGAAAAATATGTCTTGGTGGAAATTAAATTTGAGGTTCTTTAATTATTGGGACAGACAGCTAAAGCACAGAGAAACAAAATAGAATTCAATACTCATGTTTTAATGCTGAATCCATGTCCTAATAATGCAGATAATGGCTTTTTTGGTTTTTTTTTTTCGGGGGGGGGAGAGGGATGAGGGTGGAACACGTCCTGCAGTGCTCAGGGGCTACTCCTGGCTTTATGCTCAGGTTCAGTGCTTGGCATTGCTCCAGGGACTATATGTGGTGCTGAGGGTTGGAACCAGGTTTGCAGCTGCAGCCACAGGCAAGACTTGTAGCATAATCTCTCTTTCTCCAGCTCATAAATTTTTTAACCCCATTTTAGACAGGAAATGAAGCTACAATGTGTTGAAATGTAGTTGCAGAGCACACAGTAGGGAAAAAACCCTCTAATTTTGAACATTGCAGGGAGCTGGAGTGATAGTACAGGAGAAAAGGCACTTGCCTCGCATGTGGCTGCTGTGGCCGTGAACTGGGTTGGACACCCCAGCGTCACATTAAGTCCTCTGAGCTCCAGGAATCTCTCCTGTGCACAGAATCTGGAATTGCCCCTGACACTGCTCAGTATGAGCCACCATCTGTCCCCCCCCCCGCCAATTTTGGGGTGCCAGAGATACCTAGTATGGAAAATAGGGTGTTTGCCTTACAAGTGGCCGGCCCCGGTTTAAACCCTGGCATGGCAAAGCATCGTCTGAGCATACCAGGCATCTCTTATGAGCCCAGAACCAGGAATAGCTCCTGAGCACTGCTGGGTCTGCCCCCCAAATCATCCTCCTTTTTTTTTCCCTTCTTTTTTGGTTGTTGATGTTTTTCTGTTTTGTTGTTGGGGAGGATGGCATTCCTGTCATCAAGGGCCACCAGAGCCACACTCAGCAGAACCGGGGAGCCCTATAGTGCTGGGGACCAAACCCTGAACCTTGTGCAGAAAGACATGGGGTCTACCACTTTGAGCTAGACCCCCCTAAGTCTCTTAACCCCCCAAATCTCATCACTTTCAGCTGCTTTGTTTCTTCTGTTTAATGTTTGCTAGAAACGTACTGCAAGCCACATATATAAGTAAGTCTGTAGGGGCTACATTTATAAAGTAGAAAGAGGCCCTGGAGGGAGAGCAGGAATTAGTGCATGTGCCTTGCACGTGCCTGACCTCAGTTCAAGCCCAGGCCCCATACGTTTCTTCTCCTTCTCTGGAATCACTGAGTGTAGCCTTAGAGGCTGTAGCACTGCTGGGGTTCCCAGGGGAGCCCCACCATCGCAGGGCCCAAGTCAGCACCTCAGCGTTGGACCCTCACATTGAACCACCAGGCTGGATGGCAGAGAATTACTGGGCATAACCCCTGGCCCCCCTGCACATTGCTTGGAAAGTCCCACCTCTCCCACCAAAAAAGTAAAAAGAAACAGGTAAATTTAATTTAATAATATTTACTTAGGCCAGCATATTTCATGATGTGAAGCAATAATATCCACAATATTTCAACACATAATGAATTTTTTAAAAGTTAAGAAATGCGGACCCTTTTCTTTTCATAGCAAGTCTCTAAAACCCAGCGTGTCTTTTACACTCTGGTACACTTCTGGTACCTGGTAGCTTCATGTCTCCGGTTGCCATCTTATTGGACAGCGCAGGCTACAACGACGCGACGTTTGTAATTGCTTGTTTAGTTTTCAGCACTGTCCAGATAACTAAAGGCAACTAAGAATGCCTGGATTGATTGTTGTAGCAAAGAGCCTTCCTCTGTCGAATCCAAGTTTGGTATTTCTCATGGCCTGGAGGCTCTTGCTGCTTTCTTTTTGACATCTCTTTTTCTGTATCTGTAGCTTTTTGTTTGTTTTGTTTTGGGGTAGTACTCAGGTCTTACTTCTGTCTCACTCTGGGATTACTTCTGGCTCTCAAGGATCACTTCTGGTGCTCAGGGATCATTTCGGGTGGGCTCAGGGCGCTGAGGACCAACCCCCAGGTGGGCTGTGTATAAAGCAAGCGCCTTTCCTGCTGTACTATCTCTCTGGCCCACCTGCACCTGCACTTCTGGAGATAGGAATATATTTGGTAAGCTTATATCTTTCTTTATCAGCAGTAGCTTCTTCATAGGATTGGGAAATAACTGAGAAACCAAATTATAAAATAAAATGCAAAACAAAACAGAAAAACTAAAGAAATAAAAATCTAATGGTGCTGATCTTGAAGTTTTTGTGGTCAGTTAGCAGGGTGGAAATGAGACAAGCTTTCTTTGAGCAGAAGCGGTAGTACAAAGATTTAAAAAAAATCACATTCCAAGATGAGCCACATCTTTTTTCTTTCATATCGTTCCTTTGCTTTGATTTCTCTTGTCTCGATTTAATTGCTTTTCTAAGCACTTGCTATTGACCTCAGTCACCACTCAGTCTGGTATTAACTGCATTCTTGGCTTGAGAGAGACTAATAGCAAGATTTTGGCAGAGTTGTACTGAGACAGCCCTTCAGTTGAATTCAGTCTGGATTTGGGCCACTGTCTCATTGTTACATCTTATATCCTTTTTTAAAAAGAAAATTGGTGAATTGTTAACCCTTGTGATTATTACCCAGGCTAAGAAATAAGATTTGGCCAACCACCCAGAAAACGTCTCTATATAACCCCAAATTATATCCCCCTTCCTATCTCTTAAACTAACCACCATCCTATCAGTCACTTATCGGATTAGCATTATTACATACATACATATATATATATATAATTTTTTTTTTTGCGGTGGCTAAAGTTTTCTGGCAAGTTTTAGCCAATTGGGCCAGAGTTTCGGTGTAAAGACCTGAGGATTTGATGCTTCAGGCCCTGAAGTGCCAGGGATACTCAGTCACCCCTGCCTGGATGGTGCTGGGGGCTTCCAGGCTCCACCCAGCAATGCTTGGGGTACTTAGTGGTACTGAGAATCGAACTGGTGTCAGGTTCCTGTTCTGAGTGCAACATAACTGCTGTACTAACTATCTCTCGCCTCCCCCAACATTCTGTATTTCAAATCTGTGTTTTGTCCACTTAAATTGATATCTTTTGTTCTTTTTGTTCATTTTTATTGTGGGGCTGCTCCTTGTGTATTGGAGGACCAGGTGGTGCCATGGAACCCCAGGCTCCCTCCTGCAAAGCATAAACTGCACCTTTTGAGCTATTTCTCTGCCCTGCATCTCATCTGCTGAAGAATCCAGGCCCTCCGGTCTTTTGGTGTTTTTCATAGTGCAGCTTTTGCTGACTAGATGCTGGTACAATTCACAATTCAGCTTGTTTCTCTGTCTCTGTTCCCCGCCCCCCCTTCCAGGCCCCCCCCCCCCACACCCCCCCCACACACAGACACTTCAACAGCTGATTCTAAAGACTGGATGAGACTCAGCTGTGATCCTTTGGGCAAGATGATAGGTAGTGGTGTGTTCTTTTATCAGGAGGCACGTGATGTCTGGGTTTTGCTTTCTATTGATGTCAGTAGCTGTCAGTTCTCAGTTCCTAGACCTGTGAACTTATTTGGGGAATACAAAATGACTGTATGCTATCATTAAAGATTTTTTGCCTCAGAAATAATTTCACAAGAAGACACTTCTCTTTGTCTGTTTTCTTGAGGGCTGGGATTCATTGAAGCAGTCTCCAGGGGTCCAGGGTTGCAACAGTTATTTTCAGCTGACTGAGACAGTGGTTCAGTGTAAGAGCTCCAAAATGCAGTGCATAAGGGCCTAGTTGTGCTAGTGATAACCTGGGCTATGCCCGAGAGACTGGGTGTCTCCAGGGCCTCACCTCCTCACCTCCATTTCCCAGGAACCTCCAGGGCTGTACCAAGTGATGCTAGGGAACCATGTGCCAGGGATTGAACTGGGTCCTCTGCAGGAAAGGAATATGCATCTTAATCCCTGAACTGTCTCCCCAACCCCTTCACCTATTATTTGGGACCTAGTGGTCATGTTCAAATGGAAAATTTTTTTTATTTACTTTTATATATTCAATTTTCAAGATAATGAATGTACTGAAAACACATGTTTATATTATCCCAAATAATTGAAAAATTACTCGAGTGAAAAACAGGTATTTATCTGTCCATATTCGTAGTAGTATTGTTTGCATTTACCAAGAGTTAAAGCACCCAGGGTTAGTGGCCGGAGCGATAGTACAGTGGGTAGGGTGTTTGCCTTGCACACGGCTGACCTGAGTTCAATCCCTAGCATTCCATATGGTCCCCCAAGCACTGCCAGTAGTAATTCCTGATGTAGAGGCCAGGAATAACACCTGGCTATCACTGGGTAAGACCCAAAAAGCAAAAAAAGAAAAAAAAGGCACCCAGGGTTAGAGAAATTAATACACCAGTCACAAAAAGACAAATGTTGATTCTTCTTATATAAGAACTCAGAAGAGTCAGAATCACAGAGACAAAAGCAAAATGGTGGTTTCCAGATGTTGCGAGGCACAGGGATGGGGACTTAAAGGTTGCACTTTTGGTTTGGAATATGAGAGTTTTGGGAGTAGACATGATGGCTGTACAAAATAAATTCACTTACTGAATACTTAAACTTGTTGAAGTGGCAGAAATTTACTTTTCAAAATACACACACACACACACACACACACACACACACTCCCTTTGTCCTTTTATAATCTTACAGTTCTGTAGATAAGACCTGTATCTCAAGGGTTTTCTGCTTAAGGTTTCACAAGGTTGAAACCAGGTTACCGGCCAAGTTAAACTTTATTCTGGAAGCTCTAAATAAGAATTCAAGGAGAAACCAGGTTCCAAATTCATTTCAGTTGTCGGCAGAATCCAGTCCTTCGGTTGTGGGATGAATCTGAGTTTCAGACTGGCTGACTGCTGGCATCTGCAGAGTCCTTGTCATGTGGCCTCTCTACAGGTTAGCTTGGTGCAGCCAGTCCTGCTCTGACTTTTCATTCAGTTGCCAGCTACAGAAAGGACTCTGTTTT